TGTGTGTGTGTGTGTGGTGTGTGTGTGGTGTGTGTGTGTGGGTGTGTGTGTGTGGTGTGTGTGTGTGTGGTGTGTGTGGTTGGTGTGTGTGTGTGTGTGGTGTGTGTGGTGTGGTGTGTGTGGTGTGTGTGTGGTGTGTGTGGTGGTGTGTGTGGTGTGTGTGTGTGTGGTGTGTGTGGTGTGTGGTGTGTGTGTGGGGTTGTGTGTGTGTGTGTGTGTGTGTGTGTGTGTGTGTGGTGTGTGTGTGTGTGTGTGGTGTGGTGGTGTGGGTGTGTGGTGTGTGTGTGTGTGGTGTTGTGGTGGTGTGGGTGGTGTTGGGTGGGTGTGTGTGTGTGTGGGGTGTGTGTGTGGGTGTGTGTGGTGTGTGGTGTGTGGTGTGTGTGGTGTGTGTGTGTGTGGTGTGGGTGTGTGGGTGTGGGTGTGTGTGTGTGGGTTGTGTGTGGGTGTGTGTGGTGGTGTGTTGGTGTGTGTGGGTGGTGTGTGTGGTGTGTGGTGGTGTGTGTGTGGTGGTGGTGTGTGTGGTGTGTGTGTGTGTGGGTGGTGTGGGTGGTGGGGGGTGGTGGTGGTGGGTGTGGGGTGGTGTGGGTGTGGTGGTGTGTGTGTGGTGGTGGTGGTGTGTGTGTGTGTGGGTGGTGGTGGTGTGTGTGGTGGTTGTGTGTGTGTGGTGGTGGGTGTGTGGGTTGTGTGTGTGTGTGTGGTGGGTGTGTGGTGGTGTGTGGTGTGTGGTGTGTGTGGTGTGTGTGTGTGTGTGTTGGTGTGTGTGGTGTGTGTGTACTCACCTAGTTACTCACCTAGTTGAGGTTGCAGGGGTCGAGTCCAAGCTCCTGGCCCCTCCTCTTCACTGGTCTCTACTAGGTCACTCTCCCTGAACCATAAGCTTTATCGTACCTCTGCTTAAAGCTATGTATGGATCCTGCCTCCACTACATCACTTCCCAAACTATTCCACTTCCTGACTACTCTGTGGCTGAAGAAATACTTCCTAACATCCCTTTGATTCATCTGTGTCTTCAGCTTCCAACTGTGTCCCCGTGTTGCTGTGTCCAGTCTCTGGAACATCCTGTCTTTGTCCACCTTGTCAATTCCTCTCAGTGTTTTGTATGTCGTTATCATGTCCCCCCTATCTCTCCTGTCCTCCAGTGTCGTCAGGTTGATTTCCCTTAACCTCTCCTCGTAGGACATACCTCTTAGCTCTGGGACTAGCCCTGTTGCAAACCTTCGCACTTTCTCTAGTTTCTTGACGTGCTTGGCTAGGTGTGGGTTCCAGACTGGTGCTGCATACTCCAATATGGGCCTAACGTACACGGTGTACAGGGTCCTGAACGATTCCTTCTTGTGTGTGTGTGTGTGTGTGTGTGTGTGTGTGTGTGTGTGTGTGTGTGTGTGTGTGTGTGTGTGTGTGTGTGTGTGTGTGTGTGTGTGTGTGTGCGAGCGCGCGAGCGCCTAATTCATCTGTGGTTGCAGGGGTCGAGACTCAGCTCCTGGCCCCGCCTCTTCACTGGTCACTACTAGGTCACTCTTCCTGCTCCATGAGCTTTATCATACCTCTTCTTAAAGCTATGTATGGATCCTGCCTCCACTACATCCCAGACCATTCCACTTCCTAACAACTCTGTGACTAAAGAAATACTTCCTAACATCCCTGTGATTCATCAGTCTTCAACTTCCAATTGTGACCCCTTGTTCCTGTGTCCCATCTCTGGAACATCCTGTCTCTGTCCACCCTGTCAATTCCTCTCAGTATTTTAAATGTCGTTATCATATTCCTCTATCTCTCCTGTCCTCTAGTGTCGTCAGGTTGATTTCCGGGACTAGTCTTGTTGCAAACATTTCCATTTTCTCTAATTTCCTTACATGCCTTGCTAGGTGTGGGTTCCAAACTGGTGCTGCATACTCCAATATAGGCCTAACATACACGGTGTACAGGATCTTGAAAGATTCCTTATTAAGTAAGATGTCGGAATGCTATTCTTAGGTTTGAGTGTGTGTGCTCACCTAGTTGTGGTTGCGGGGGTCGAATCACAGCTCCTGGCACCTCTTCAACTGGCCGCTACTCAGTCACTCTTCCCGCTCCGTGAGCTTTATCATACCTCTTCTTAAAGCTATGTATGGATCCTGCCTCCACTACATCCCTACCCAGGTTATTCCACTTTCTAACAACTCTGTGACTGAATACTTCCTAACATCCCTGTGATTCATCTGAATCTTCAATTTCCAACTGCCACCCCTTGTTGCTGTGTCCCATCTCTGGAACATCCTGTCTCGAACCACCTTGTCTATACCTCAGTATTTTATATGTCGTTATCATATCCCCCTATATCTCCTGTCTTTCAGTGTCGTCTTCGTGTGTGTGTGTGTGTGTGTGTGTGTGTGTGTGTGTGTGTGTGTGTGTGTGTGTGTGTGTGTGTGTGTGTGTGTGTGTGTGTGTGTGTATGTGTGTATGTGTGTATGTGTGTATGTGTGTATGTGTGTATGTGTGTGTGTGTGTATGTGTGTATGTACTCACCTATTTGTACTCACCTATTTGTGGTTGCAGGGGTCGAGTCCTAGCTCCTGGCCCCGCCTCTTCACCGGTTGCTACTAGACCCTCTCTCTCCCCGCTCCATGAGCTTTATCAAACCTCGTCTTAAAACTGTGTATGGTTCCTGCCTCCACTACGTCATTTTCTAGGTTATTCCACTGCCTTACAACTCTATGACTGAAGAAATACTTCCTACTATCTCTCTGACTCATTTGTGTCTTCAACTTCCAATTGTGGCCTCTTGTTTCTGTGTCCCCTCCCTGGAACATCCTGTCCTTGTCCACCTTGTCTATTCCACGCAGTATTTTATATGTCGTTATCATGTCTCCCCTGACCCTCCTGTCCTCCAGTGTCGTCAGGTGTGTGTGTGTGTGTGTGTGTGTGTGGTGTGTGTGTGTGTTGTGTGTGTGTGTGTGTGTGTGTGTGTGTGTGTGCTCACCTATTTGTACTCACCTATTTGTGGTTGCAGGGGTCGATTCATAGCTCCTGGCCCCGCCTCTTCACTGATTTCTACTAGGTCCTCTCTCTCCCTGTGTGTGTGTGTGTGTGTGTGTGTGTGTATATATGTGTGTGTGTGTGTGTGTGTGTGTGTGTGTGTGTGTGTGTGTGTGTGTGTGTGTGTGTGTGTGTGTGTGTGTGTGTGTGTGTGTGTGTGTGTGCGCCTGTCTGTACTCAATGGTGGTTGCAAGGGTCGAGTCACTGCTCCTGGCCCCGCTTCTTCACTGGTTGCTACTAGGTCACTCTCCCTGCTCCATGAGTTTTATCAACCTCTATGTGTGTGTCTGTCTGCGTGTCTCTGTGTACACTCACCTACATGTGGTTGCAGGGGTCGATTCACAGTTCCTGGCACCACCTCTTCGCTGGTCGCTACTAGGTCCATTCTCTCCCTGTTCCATGAGTTGTACTCACCTATTTGTGGTAGCAGGGGTCGAGTCTTAGCTCCTGGCCCCGTGTGTGTGTGTGTGTACTCACCTATTTGTGGTATCACATTCATGAGGGAAGCGCTAAAACCGTAAGGGTTATGCAGCACCTGGGGAGCAAGAGGTGATCAAGTTTAATCCAATGAAATGGAGGGTAACTCCAATTCCTTGGATCAACAGCCATTCACCGGCATCCAGGGACATCCCCCACCCCATCTATGATGGACTCGCTAGTATTATAATAATCTCAAAGCGCTAAACCTATTATTGTTATAGTCACATTAAAGCGGTAAACCTGAATGGGTCATACACCACTGTGCTAAATCTGTGCATGCGATCATGTTTTTTCTTAATAATTTTAAATTTATTGAGCTCTAAACACTTGTCATTTAACACCTGGGAGAACGAAGCAATCAGGTTTGATGCAAGATCACTTCTAATTCCTTGGATCAAGACCCCTGCATCGGTATTTGGGATTTGCTGTATAGGTCTACTCATCCATTTGTAAGAGATCAACCTCACCTCTACACTGATTTCTCAGAGTGCCCTCATGCCGGGAAAGGGCTCTTAATTCCAGGAACTGGAGCTGCCCTTCCCTAGGTTAAACATAACCTTCCATGGAGAGAATTATATAATAACCATGGGGGAGCGCTAAACCCGTAGGATTATACAGCGCATGAGGGGGGGGATGGAAGGTATTCAGGCTCAAATCACGGAACTGGAGCCCAGATCTAATTCCCTAGATCAAGAGCCCCTCACCAACGTCAAGGAACCTCCCTTGAGAGGTCCATGGAGAGAGAAAAGATATCAAATACAGACGACGGGAAGACATCATGCAATATAATGTGCAACGTTGTGGGGGAAACGTTGTCTCCATACCTTCCATCCCCAGGCGCTTTATGATTCCTTACGGGTTTAAGGCTCTCCAGAAAAATGACATGTTAATGAGAATATTAATTATACATCGTTTGTGTCTTTTCCAGTATAATGGTAGATTTTCGCGTATATATTTATTAAAATTTGTGCGCATTTTGGGAACTGGTAGTCGCCAGTGTTAATAAATTATTTACAAGAATATTCCAAATTTGACATTTGGAACTGGCTTTGTTATTTAACTTGGCACACAAAACATACCACTATTTTCATGAATTTGGAAAGGAAAAACTTATAGAAAGGAAAATAACTTCAAAAATTATATATGTAATGCTTAGAAGACAGGGATATTATATGTGCTTTGTGGCCCGAGTAATGCTTAGTAACCCGCCCACCCTCTACTACATCGTATAACCTCACTCAACTAATACATATCATTTACCTTAAGAAGTAATGTCACGAGATTATGCCTAAGCAATCGATGACATTGTAAAATTGTTGTTATTAGGCCTGGGGAGGCATGGGAGGGTGTAAAATACTTGTGTGTGGCAACGGCGCTTGACACCCCAAACCCAGCAGCGTCTCTACCAGCGGTGTGTCCGGCTCTTCACTCACCTCTTACATCATTATCTACACTTACCTCCTCCACTTACACTCTCGGGCGGGAGCACTAGCACTCACACTTACCTTATGTGTGGCTACAAACGACGAACATGACGGGAAATGAAAGAAATGGAAGGGAAGTTGAGAGGCCAGAGTGTACTCCTGCAGGGGAGAGGAACCCACCGTGATCACGTGACCCCAGGGGTGGCGGAGGTGCGGGGCGACGCTGCCACGTCTTGCCTACACTCACCTCTTATTGTGTGTGCACTCACCTACACACAGTGTACTGGGTGTAAAACACATCGCACTATATACCCTACACTACACTCATCACTTGTGTACACACTACACTCAGCTGATCACTGGTAAACAACACTACACTCAGCTGATCACTGGTAAACAACACTACACTCAGCTGATCACTGGTAAACAACACTACACTCAGCTGATCACTGGTAAACAACACTACACTCAGCTGATCACTGGTAAACAACACTACACTCAGCTGATCACTGGTAAACAACACTACACTCAGCTGATCACTGGTAAACAACACTACACTCAGCTGATCACTGGTAAACAACACTACACTCAGCTGATCACTGGTAAACAACACTACACTCAGCTGATCACTGATAAACAACACTACACTCAGCTGATCACTGATAAACAACACTACACTCAGCTGATCACTGGTAAACAACACTACACAGCTGATCACTGGTAAACAACACTACACTCAGCTGATCACTGGTAAACAACACTACACTCAGCTGATCACTTATAAACAACACTACACTCAGCTGATCACTGATAAACACTACACTCAGCTGATCACTGGTAAACAACACTACACTCAGCTGATCACTTATAAACAACACTACACTCAGCTGATCACTGATAAACAATACTACACTCAGCTGATCACTGGTAAACAACACTACACAGCTGATCACTGGTAAACAACACTACACTCAGCTGATCACTGGTAAACACACTACACTCAGCTGATCACTTATAAACAACACTACACTCAGCTGATCACTGATAAACAATACTACACTCAGCTGATCACTGGTAAACAACACTCAGCTCATCACTGGTAAACAACACTACACTCAGCTCATTACTGGTAAACACTACACTCAGTTCATCACTGGTAAACAACGCTCAGCTGATCACTGGTAAACAATCAGCTCATCACTGGTAAACAACACTGCACTCAGCTCATCACTGGTACACAACACTATACTCAGCTCATCATTGATAAACAGCACTACACTCAGCTCATCACTAGTAAACAACACTACACTCAGCTTATCACTGGTAAACAACACTCAGCTCATCCTTGGTAAACAACTTAGCTCATCCCTGGTAAACAATACTCAGCTCATCCCTGGTAAACAACACTCACCTCATCCCTGGTAAACAACACTACACTCAGCTCTTCACTGGTAAACAACTCAGCTGATCACTAGTAAACAACTCTCAGCTGATCACTAGTAAACAACTCAGCTGATCACTAGTAAACAACTCTCAGTTGATCACTAGTAAACAACTCTCAGCTGATCACTGGTAAAGAACACTGTGCTCAGCTCATCACATCTAAACACCATATACTCTCTGCCAGCCACTTTTAAACACAGCTTAGCTGTTCACTTGTAAAAAGTACATTCAGCTGATCACTTCCAAATATCACACTCAGCTGGTCACATGTAAATACACAGGTGGTCACTTGCAAACAATACTTTCAAATGGTCACTTATAAACACTGCACTCACTTGGTTACCTGCAAACATCATATTCTCTTCTGATCACTTACAAATACTTCATTCTCATGTCACTTGTAAACACTACATTCAGCTGGTTACTTGTAAACATTATACTTAGCTGGTCACTTGCAAACATCACTCAACTGGTCACTCAAACACTACTCAGCTGGACACTTGTATACTTGCACTCTCAGCTGGTCACATGTAAATGCTACTACACTCTTGGTAGGTCACCTGTACACAATGCACTCAGCTAGTCAGTGGTAAACACTACACTCAGCTAGTCACTTGTACATACCACTCACTTGGTCACTTGTAAACAATACTCACTGGTCACATATAAACACTCAGTACTCTCATCTGATTACCTGTACAAACTAGACTCAGCTGGTCACTTGTAACCCCTCAAGGAAGGTTCCTTGATGTTGGTGAGGGGCTCTTGATTTAGGGAATTGGATCTGTGCTCCAGTTCCCCGAATTAAGCCTGAATGCCTTCCACATCCCCCCCCCAGGCGCTGTATAATCCTCCGGGTTTAGCGCTTCCCCCTTGATTATAATAATAATAATGGTCGCTTGTAAACACTGCTTTCAGCTGATCACTTGTACAAACTAGACTCAGCTGGTCACCTATAAACACTAAGCTCTGCTGAGCACTTGTGAGCAGTGCACTCTCAGCTGGTCACTTGTGAACAGTGCACTCTCAGCTGGTCACTTGTGAACAGTGCACTCTCAGCTGGTCACTTGTGAACCATACACTCAGCTGATCATTTGTGAATAAACTCAGCTGGTCACTTGTGAACCATACACTCAGCTGATCATTTGTGAATAAACTCAGCTGGTCACTTGTAAATGATGTACTCTCAGCTGATTTATAAAGATTACACAGCTGGTCACTTGAACAATACACTAGGCTAGTCACTTGTAAATACTCAACTGATCACTTGTGAATACACACTTAGCTGGTCACTTGTGAATATACACTTACCTGGTCACTTGTGATATTTATTTATTGATAAGTGCTAAACCGATAGGGGTCATATAGTGCCTGGGATTAAGGGGTAAATTAGGTTTGATCCAAAGGAATGGGTAGCTCCAGTTCTTTAGATCAAAAACCCTTTACCATCAAGGCACCCTACTTTCAGGGATTACATAGCTGATCACTTTTAACCTTACTCTCAACAGATCACCTGTAAACACATCCAACACAGCTGATCATTTGTAAACACATGCTCTCATTTGTAAACACATCAAACACACCTGATCATTTGTAAACATTCGACAGCTCATGTGTTAACACAACCAACACATCTGATCACTTAAACATGACACTCAGCTAATCACTTTCATGCATCAACACTCAGCTAATTGCTTGTAAATATACTCTGCTCTCAGCTTATTACTCTAAACACAATACACATAGCTTAACACATATACACACCCAACACTTAGTAGATCACTTGTCAATAGTACCATCTTAGCAGATCACTTTTAAACAATACGCCATTTTATATATGGGACTTGAGTATCCGCAGCTTTTGGTATCCATGGATGGGAGGATCATGGAACCAATCCCTTGCTGATACTGAAGGACAACTGTATATGCCAGATGATATGTATACATATTCTACACAGCTGCTCTTTAAATACATAACACAAACAGTTATCACCAGTAAATACACCAGATCACATGTAAAACTGCTCCCAGTTAATCACTAGCTAATGTAAATCCATGCACAACCTAGGCTTCTATAACATGCATCACTTTTTATCATTATCAGGTCAAACCTAACTCAAGAGTCAGTTATTTTTCATGCCACAATTTTGTTGGGTTCTCCATGGGGAAGTGGAATAGAATTCTTCCTCTGTAAGCCATGCATGTTGTAAGAGGCAACTAACATGCTGGGAGCAAGGGGCTAGTAACCCCCTTTCCTGTATACATTACTAAAATTAGAGAGAAACTTTAGTTTTTCTTTTTAGGCCACCCTGCTTCGGTGGGATATGACCGGTTTGTTGAAAGAAAGAATTTTGTTGGGTGTTTATGCTATCAGATCCAGCTAAGATGGCCTCCAAATCAATTCCCAAGCAAGTTAAACGTCTATTTAATGTTTATGGAAGGCAGATCCAATCTATATTTTCTACAATAATGGCAAATGTAGTGTTGCCAAGGATATAATAATTTTTAGATATAATTATATTTGTATATTTTTGTAAATACCAGTTAGCTGGACTTGAGTCCTGAAGGTCGAAAGTACAATACTTGCACTTTAAAGGAAGGGTTTGGGATATTTGCTGTTTGGAGTGACATCTGAACTGTCATATGTGTGTGCCCTTGCAAAGACAGTGATTGTGTGTGAATGATGGTTTACATGTTGAATGATGGTTTAAGTGCTGAATGATGGTGAAAGTGCTTCTTTCTTTCTTGGGCTACCCTGTCTTGGTGGGAGATGGCTAGTGTTGAAAATTTTTTTTTGTAAAATTAGTCTATCATAATTAATGCCAGCTGATGTGGTTGGGGGATCAAACACTCAGCATTTGTTAGGAAGGACTATGGTTCATTACCCAAGAGTGACATTCCATAATTTCACATAATAAAATAGAAAAAAGAATTATTTGTTGGACATTAGGCCAATCAACTACACTTGGATCATAAAGACAGCAATTCACCTGTACACTTAACATCAATATACTGCACACAAATAACCCGCACATAGGAGAATGAAACTTAGGATGACGTTTTGGTCTGACTTGGACCATTAACTTTGCAGCATTTTAATCCCTAAAATGGGAAATAAAGTAAAATCTCCTAAAAGTAAGTCTAATAAAAATATAGCATCTCCAAAATAAGCAATTGTTGTACTTTTAAAAAGCATTTCATAAGCTCATTCCTTCCAAATGTTACTCAGTCCTAAACCAGGTGATGTGTTTTGGAAGTTTTTTTTCTTTAAATCTTTCTTTAAATCTTCATCAGAGTACAAAACAAATTCTGGCCACAAAATAGAGCGAAACACCAACGTCAAAGACCTGGGAGTGATCATGTCGGAGGATCTCACCTTCAAGGACCATAACATTGTATCAATCGCATCTGCTAGAAAAATGACAGGATGGATAATGAGAACCTTCAAAACTAGGGAGGCCAAGCCCATGATGACACTCTTCAGGTCACTTGTTCTATCTAGGCTGGAATATTGCTGCACACTAACAGCACCTTTCAAGGCAGGTGAAATTGCTGACCTAGAAAATGTACAGAGAACCTTCACGGCGCGCATAACGGAGATAAAACACCTCAATTACTGGGAGCGCTTGAGGTTTCTAAACCTGTATTCCCTGGAACGCAGGAGGGAGAGATACATGATTATATACACCTGGAAAATCCTAGAGGGACTAGTACCGAACTTACACACGAAAATCACTCACTACGAAAGCAAAAGACTTGGCAGACGATGCACCATCCCCCCAATGAAAAGCA